GCAGTACTAGTGACAGTCCTCCTCCTTTACTCAATAAACCAAATGAGACAGGACAGGATGACCTTACTAATCCTAATGTATCCTCACACTCTCTAAATAACAACAAATACAAAAAAACATAATTAATAATAAATAATAAATAATTATAATAACAAAATGAAAAACAAGACAAATTTACAAAATTAAACGATACATACACAAAAGTACATATGTACATGTACATGTACGGGTCATTTAAAAATTTCACGATCATTCCATATCAAATGATATATAAATATGTACATTCGTGGAGTATTAATATTGGTTGCAGTGAACATCCACTTATATAAAATCTGTCATTGTGTTTTATTCTGAGCTGCTCAATGGGATTTAGTTGCTAAATCACCAAATGACACCAATGCATGTATACATGTACATATGTAAAATCCACCAATTGCAAATTGCCAAATTCAACTACTGCCAATACTTAAGTTCCAACAGTAAGAAAGACAGATGATACATGTATGGCCCCAGTAACAATGCTAACAATACAACAATACATCATTATCATTATTCATAATATCATTCTTCAAAACATTGATTATTAGTACCAATCTAATACTAACTTGTCCAGTGAGTTGTCAAGGTTCCATGCATGAAGGCATGATACTAGGAGTCTAGGTGAGCTGATGGTTAGAGGGAGAAAGAGAGAGAGAGGAGGGAAACAATGTAATTTGTGCATATACATGTACATGTACACTGCATTTAAAACTTGATATTTCCATGTATGTGTATGTATAACTGTCAAAAAATGTAAATAACATTATTGAAGCAAAAAGTAAGCAAATGAAGGCAACATAAAAACCACAAAACATTTACAATACTTTTCAGCACATTAGTAACTTATACATGTACATGCACATGTAAGTAGTCAATATATGAAAATGTACGTACACATGTATTTCAGTGAAAATAATTACATGTACATGAATATTAATTACTATACACTTAATGGGCAATACATGTTGGTATTACATGTACTACAAATACTTGTACATGTACATGTATTAGCAATTGAATGCTTTGGTGTGAGAGAGAAAGAGAGAGAGAAAGAGTGAGGGGGAGAGCAAAGCTTACATTAATATGAGGAGGACATGCTACAATGCTACTGACCACCCACCATGAACTGCAATAGTGTGGAACAATATTCCTTTGAAGAGGTCCCACAATCTAACAGAGAAATCAGGACTACCAGATAACAAGTGATTGGTATCATAAGCAGTGCTATATAGTCACAGGATACAACAGGAGGGGACTCTCCTCTTGTGACCTCTTAAGAAATAATACTGAGGCCATGCTATAGAGGAGAGGGAGGGAGGGAGGGAGAGAGAGAGAGAAGCACTGAGAAAAAACAGAGGTGATACTGTACATGTACAACTGTACTTGAGTAGACTACAGGCATGATAAACACTTGGTATTACTATTTCTACAGAAAAATATCCTATTCATATTGCATGTAATTACAATGTACATGTACATGTATGAATGCATGTACATACATGGACATGTATACAATTATTGTACATTTGTATGCAGAGTACCTCTTGAGAACTTTCTCTTGGCTAGTAAGAGTTTGGTAGCTGCTTGAGTTCCTGATAGAACTATAATACCACCATTGGACAATACACAGATCAACCAACTGAATTGTGTCAAAAATAAAGAAACAATAATATTGGAAGAAGGACCAGCACTGATACTGGGATACTAATGGAATAAAAGAGAGGAAGAGAGAGAGATACAGAGGGAGAGAAAATATAAAGAATTAACATACATGCACATTTAAAAAATTAAAATAAAAATAGAACAGAAAGATCATATAATAGAAAGAATGAGAGAGATGGAGGGTTGAAAAAGAGGGTACAACACTTTGTACATGTAAGGCTGGTAATATTGGAGGGAGTAATTTGGTGAATTTTGTTGATTGGCAGGTTTCAATTTGGCAATTTGGTGGCCATGTCCCATTGAGCATGTATGATTGCAATGGTTGGGAATTCTCAGGAATATGATAACTGACAACTGAGTCAATAAGGGAACAAGGGGTGGCTGGGGACTGCCATGAGTCAGAGAGAGAGCCAGTGAAATGAGACTTGAAATCAGGACCTTCCTCTCAATGAAGCTTACCAATGATAGACTCCACACCTGCAGCTAATGATAATAAAGAACAAGAAAGTATAACTATATAAAATATATTATCACAATTATTAAAATATATTATCACAATTAAGCACAATTTAATGTGGAAACCCTGATTTACATAATGTTCCATTAATATTATCACTACCTTTATTCCATAATGCATTCCATTTCCAAGATTATTAACAGTTTTAAGACACATCCCATCTTTACCATCCCACAATGCTATGCACCTATTAATATAACATTAATAACTAGCCACACCCCTACCACATCAACACACCCATTTTTACTAAGACTGACAATCCTGTTCCTGTCTCCAGACTCCATTCCTAGTAATAATAGTCTCAGACAAAACTAGAAAATCATGGGCATTAATTGGAAATTGTGGTTGGCATTAATTAAAATGATACATAAAGGCTTTTAAGTGATAGTGATAATTGGTCTAACCACAAATTCTCCATTGATTCTCTTCCTGTATATGTTCCAGATACAAATCTGCCCCGTTTTAGTACCAGTAGCTCCTCCTTTATCCTCCTCTGTCCTATTAAATACACAGTATAATAGTCAGTATCAAAATCCAAAGCTCTGACCTGGTCATACAGGTAATATCGTGTACTGGAGGATGATGCCCCCAAAATACAATAGGAACCCTAATCCTATGACTAGTTGGTGCTAGTTGCGGACTTGGGGTATAAACAAAAGTCTCATTCTGTGAGATAGACACCATTTTACACACGTGGTATCACGTGGGCTGCGTGGGCCTAGGCGTGGCTAGATAAAGAAAAGGAATGAATGTAGACCAATGGACCTTAGCTAGACTGACTAGTGAGGATCAAGATGTAGGCTGCTCATGTTACCACTCAACACTGATGAGTGACCAGGACCAGAAAAAAGTAAATTTATGAAGTTGCTTTAATTATTAATACTAGCACGATACCTTTCCTGATTCATGTACAGTTGTATATACATGTACTTTAACCCTCCAATTATTAAAAAGGAAATAGGGTCTGGCTATGCAAGACTACATTTACTTACGTTTTGTAGAAGTTTGAGCTGATTTTGATCAAATTAGATTTTTTACGAATTTTTAAAGTTGCTCAAAAATGGGGTCCAAGTCTCTGCAGGGTCACATGCCAAATAATAATGGAATTGAGGAAAATTTACGTTTTTATAATATTCTGATACATAATGTACAGGTACATGTCTTTATGATGTGTGGAAAGTTTGAGCTGATTCTGATCAAAATTGGATTTTTATAAATTTTCACAACTTGGGTGTTTGATTTTACTCTCATGTGATGTTTGTATGTATGTCACATTTCACATTCATATGTATGTCTGTATGTATGTATGTATGTTACATTTCTTCTATACACGTTGTATTAGAGAAACTTTATTTTTGGAATTTTATGGTTCACATAAGTTACAATTAAGTAATGTGATTTTTTTATCATTTATTTATCATTTATTTATTATTCTTCATAGGTTGAGTAGGTGGACTAGTGTTGCCCAGCCCCTTCGCTACCTGTGCAGGAAGGAAGACTGTGTCTTACAACTACTCTGTAAGTGATAGTAATAGTAAATATTGGAGGTAATATTTCTGGAAGAAATGGTAGTAACTTTAGAAATTGAAGCCGAAATCAGCTTAAACTTTCTACATAGCACAAGTACATCAATCTATATCAGAAAATGTAATAAAAAATTAGGGTGATTTTGGAGCCATATTTGGATAAAATTAGCCTATTTTAATTGCAAAAATATTTCAGAATCGTCTGAAACTTTCTACACAACATAAGTGCATCAATATGTATCAGAAAATGTAATGAAAATGGGGGCTACTTTTGGGATCATTTTTTGCAGAAAACCATAGCCTTTGGGTATTTTTAGAAAGTTGGCCATTTCAAATAATGCTCATAACTCTATAAATTTTTTTTGGAATCAGCTCAAACTTTCTACGTGGCATAAGGACATCAATGTTGTATCAGAAGATGTAATAAAATTTCAGGTGATTTTGGAGCCATTGTTTGGAACAAACCATGGAATAGCCTGTGTATTTTTGAAAAATTACCTTTTCTAACAATGGCTGTTGCTTGAAAAAATTGTCGGGATCAGGTCAAACTTGCTACATAGCCTTAGTACATCAATCTGTATCTGAAAATGTAAAAAAATATGGGTCATTTGACTGATTTCAGGGCCATGTTTTGGAAAATACCATAGATTATAGCTTTGGGTATTATTCAAAAATTAGCTGTTTTTAAAATAGCTCATAACTCAAAAAATATTTCTCAGAAAAGTATAGTTTGAGAGAGAGGGGAATCACTTTTAGTGTATAATCATTATAAATAAATTAATAAAAATTGTTCTTATTGTTTTCAAGGAGTCGGATTGTTGTTAATTTTTATATTTTAAAATTAATTATATTTTGTGAATGTCTACAATGCCACACTCCCTACAATAAAGCAATCCCAAAACATATTGTAGAGTAACTCCCAAGAAATATAGGGAGGCAAGTGAATGTACATGTACCTGTTTCTCCTTCTTTGCTTTCTCTCTCTC